GCACAGTGGAGAGAAAAAACGAATCGTTTGCCGACGTTTTCAGATTGAGGGATTTTACACGAGCTTGCCAAGTTCTTTTGAAAGCTGAGGAGGTCTAGCACCCTGAGTTTGTATTCCTCCTTGACAACAGTGGTTTCTGCTACCCGTGCAGCCCCAGTAGGAGACTGAGCTTGCAGCCCCTGACACAGCTGTCTGCAAATGGAGCCCTGGCTGGTTCTGTGAGTCCTGCAACCTCCATCTATCTCTCTGTCAGCTTTCCCTTAATTAGTTTCATCAGGAGCCCAGGAACGGTGTCTTTCATTCCAAATGGGGTGGAGCTGGCTATGAGCCAAAGTTTCGGGGTCTGCAGGCAGTTGGGCTTTCTCCACCTTCAGTTTTTAATTAAGGAGCTGGAGGCCCACCCAGAGCATGGCTGGGGAAGCCCCTGGGAGAGTGGCTTCTTCCTGCAGATTTTACCCTGGCCTTACTCTAGTTCTCAAGCAATATTGTTTTCTGGAAACCCAGAGACTGTTCTGAAGCTGAGGGGCAGGTGGGGGCATCACATCCACTGAAGCTGAGGGGCAGGTGGGGGCATCACATCCACACCTTACCCTGTGGTGGTGGTGACTGCTAGACTTGTGCTAGGGACTATGAAGGGAGGGACGGATAACCTCTGTCCTCGAGGAGCCCACAAGGAAGCCAGGAGAGCAGAGGGACAAGCACTGGAGAGTTTACACATCATTGAGGCAGACAGGAAACTGATCACACTCAGAGGTGAAGGAAGTGTAACTCGTTTTATTTTTTCTTTATTGCAACTTAGTTTCTTTTGTGAGCTTCTATTCCTCAGGAGTGAAACTGAATCTTAGTTAATTCTGGGTTCCACCTTTCTCTGAAGCTGCAAGTTCATTCCAGGGAGATTACATAATGCCGGCATCATAGGAAGGGTGTCAGTCAGGGTGGGCTGGCAATGCTGTGGTAACAAGCAGCTTCCATCCGTCCTTGATTTTAAAGAGCAAACGTCATTTTCCTGTGCACACCGCATGTCCACGGTGACCAGTGGTGGTGGACAGTCAAGAGCCCAGACTGACAGAGAAGGCACTGCCTTGAGCCATTGCTGGATGCTGTGCAAGGGAAGGGGACAGAGGGGAAACTAGACTGGAAATCAGGTGCTCAGTTCCTAAGACATGTGTCCCCTCTGTACCCAACTCAGTGCCCAGAACTAGCCTCTGGCAGGGCACAGACCTCCCCTGTGCCCACATGTGAGGCATCTGGAAATATGTGGCAGCACTGACTTCCACAGTTTCTAGTTTTGTCGTCCCTCTGCCCTCTCTGTGGAGACGCCTTCCCCTGCACACATCTTCTGAGGACTCTGCTTCACTCACCTTGGTTAATCTCTCACAGCACATGCTCCTCACCTGCCCCTGAATCTTAGTGGGCAGATGCCAAGGACAGCATTGGCCTGGTCCCTCTGAAGGTCACCGTGTTGCACAGAGGAACACACAAAGTACATGTCTGTGATGACAGGGCCAGAGACTTCAAATTGCCTGCAGAGGCACGTTCCAGGTTTGCCGGGGTCACTGGGGCCAGAGTTTCAGGCGACAGTAATGGTGGGAAGGGAGAAGTCTGAGCTGATTGATGGGAGAGGTCACTGCAGGGTTAGCTTCATCATTAGGGGCTCAGCATTCACAGACAGCTCATGTCATTCTCACATCCCAATGAGGAAGCACTCATTACATTCCCACAGTGACAGCACAGTTCGGCTGGTTCCTTGTGGCTGCACAGCTGGTCCTGGGTGGCCCCAGGAATAGAACTGGGTGTCATCTGGCCCCAAAGCCCACGCTTTCCCCACTCAGTGTCTTCTCCATCCTGCTGCCCCTCTCCTTATCCTCCCATTTAGGAATTTTTTCTTCTGAAAAAGCTCCACACACTCACCCAGACATCATGGCTTTTGCAGCTTGTTTTGGAGAAAGCAGACAGTGCGCCCACCCTGTTCTCAGACAGTCCCTTTGTCCCTCACCTCTGCTGGACACAGGGATAGATGCAGGGGAAGAAATGTCAGGGGAGCCCACATAGGGAAACTCAAAGTGACAAGGTGACAGAGGCCCACAGTCACTCCTGGGCCCCAACGGTGTACCTCTTCCAGAGGCCACCTGTCTCCCTTTGGACAACTTTATTACCTGGACATTCTGTAGTGCATTTTAATCCTTTTGACATTTAAAACAAAGTATTTCAGAGACAAGGCTGTCTAGGAAATGTCTTTCCAGGGTAATTAACTTAAAACCCCAACCCTGATTGGAAGGGCAGGCACGGCATGGACTCTGCCTCCAGAGGGCACTGGAGGACCATGGCCTGGAGGCACTAGGGCCAGTGCCAGCAGCCGTGGGTGGGTGCCAGGAGCCACCTTCTCTCCTACTCCTTCCTTCCTACTACTTCTTTCTAGAGAAATCGCCCAGAACCTGTGTGACCTCAGCCACTGAGGCACAGAGAGCACCATGCTCTTCGTGCACTTCCATCCCTGACCCTGCTATCCCAGGAATGTGAGATGCATGGTTTCCTCATCAGGAGCTGCTGCTCCAATCCCCCACCCTGCTATCCCAGGAATGTGAGATGCGTGGTTTCCTCATCTGGAGCTGCTGCTCCAATCCCCCACCCTGCTATCCCAGGAATGTGAGATGCGTGGTTTCCTCATCTGGAGCTGCTGCTCCAATCCCCCATCCTGCTATCCCAGGAATGTGAGATGCGTGGTTTCCTCATCTGGAGCTGCTGCTCCAATCCCCCATCCTGCTATCCCAGGAATGTGAGATGCGTGGTTTCCTCATCAGGAGCTGCTGCTCCAATCCCCCATCCTGCTATCCCAGGAATGTGAGATGCGTGGTTTCCTCATCTGGAGCTGCTGCTCCATTCCCCCATCCTGCTATCCCAGGAATGTGAGATGCGTGGTTTCCTCATCTGGAGCTGCTGCTCCATTCCCCCATCCTGCTATCCCAGGAATGTGAGATGCGTGGTTTCCTCATCTGGAGCTGCTGCTCCATTCCCCCACCCTGCTATCCCAGGAATGTGAGATGCGTGGTTTCCTCATCAGGAGCTGCTGCTCCAATCCCCCACCCTGCTATCCCAGGAATGTGAGATGTGTGGTTTCCTCATCTGGAGCTGCTGCTCCATTCCCCCATCCTGCTATCCCAGGAATGTGAGATGCGTGGTTTCCTCATCTGGAGCTGCTGCTCCATTCCCCCACCCTGCTATCCCAGGAATGTGAGATGCGTGGTTTCCTCATCAGGAGCTGCTGCTCCAATCCCCCACCCTGCTATCCCAGGAATGTGAGATGCGTGGTTTCCTCATCAGGAGCTGCTGCTCTGGAGCATCCTCCTGGGGGAAAAGTTCAGTGGTGGAATAAGGAGCTGGCCCTTTACAGTCTCTCCATCTCTCTCTCTCATCCTTCCTGCAGAGGAAGGCTGCTGTGTTCAGGGTGGCTGCACCAGAGCAGTCCCTGTGGACGATGCCCCACTTTCTGAGTAGCCAGAAGTATATTCTTTTCAGAAACAGATTCCCATTTCTGCAGGATCTGTTTCAAAGCTCACATATGCATGTGGAAGCAGAGTCGTGTACCAGACAAACTCCATGGATGGCTGAGCTTGGGAAGTGTTGCAATGGATCTTCCTTTTGGAGAGTCAGAGGACACGTTAGCTTACAAAACCTCTGCACTTTAAAAGTGAAAGTAGAGGCCAGTTCCGATTTGGGTTAAGTCAGTTTTAAAAAGTAGTTTGACCATAGAGTGTTTTCCTTGCAGAGTGACAAAGCTCTGGGGACTTCTGTAATCCAGATGCTTCCTACCTTATTTGTGGGCCTCCCTTGTGTCCCCACCCTCAAAGTTTCCGTTGGCTTTGTAAAATATTAAACACATTTAATTTGTCACACTGAGTTTCAAGTAATAGAAATCCAACTTGAACTGCCTAAGGCAAAAAGGGATGCAATGGCTCATATAACAAAAACGTTCTAAGATGTCGGACTTCAGACAGGGCTCGACCCACGAGCGTAAGTGATAGAATCAAGATTTTTCTTCTTTTTCCATCTCTCAGATCTGGTCTCCTCTGTGTTGGAGCCATGCACTCTCTCATGGTGCCAGAGTGGCTACCTGGACCCCAGGCTTACTGACATCCTTATCCTTTTAGGGGCTTGGTGGAAAAAAGAGTTTCTTCTTAGCAGTTTTGAAGAAAGCTCTTGATGGAGTTTCATTGGGCCAGCCAGGGCCACATGCTCATCTCTGAACCAATAGCTGTGGCTGGGGGATTTGATGTTCCAGTCAGCCAGTCCTGAGTCACAGGCCAAAGAGCCAGGAAGAAACCAGCCCAGCTGGACCTCATGGAAAGACGGAGTGTGTTGGTCCCTAAGGGAATTATGGGCTCGGATACTAGAAGGCAGACTGTGCACTGACAAAGTCAGCCATGTCTGATGTCCCCTCGGTCCCAGCTGAACTCCCATCTTTCCCCCACTGCTCCAGAACAGGAATTCCCAACCAACACTATGGACATTGGGCTGGGTCACTCTTGTGGGGCAGTCGTGTGCACTCAACCAACACTATGGACACTGGGCTGGGTCACTCTTGTGGGGCAGTCGTGTGCACTGCAGGGTGTTCAGCACAATCCCTGGCCTCTGCCTGCCTGACTCCATCCCGTTAGGACAACCCTAGATGACTTGAGCCATTGCCAGTTGTCTATTGTGGAGCCACCAAGCTGAGCTTCCCTTCCTGCCAGTCAATGCCACACCTCGCCCACATTGTTTTAATGAAGACACACTTTCTTGTCTGGTATATAAGTGTGAGCATGTGAGTATGGTGTGAATGTCTGTTATTCCTTTGTTAGAGGATAGGGGCTGTTCTGTGTCCCAATAATTAGCACATAGTTCCCTCTCTGTGTACATATATTAGGTGTGAAAGGAATGAAGAAAGGGAGGGCGGGAAGGAAGGAGGGAGGGAGGGAAGAAAACTGGAGCAAGCGAACATGATGCTCTCCGCTCCCCTGCAGGTTCTCCTCTTCTGATCTGGGTCACATCGCTGTCCTTTGCCGTGGACGGTTACGGAACGAGCAGCAAGTAAGTGCAGGGCTTGGCCTTGCTCTCGGCAGCCTCCGTGGAGCAGGGTGCTTGGAGGAGCCCATGGTTCTTGCCTTCCTGTGCTCTTCTGGGTGCAGGGGTGCTCAAAGCTGGCTCTCACAAGCCCACCCAGTGAGAAAGTCACGGTCCAGGGAGAGGGAGAGACAAACCAGCTGTGCCCTGGAGATTTCTCAGCCTTGGAACTAGCAACAAAGACCACAGAGCAGCACCTCCAGGAATAGCAGGGAGGCTGGTGGGAGTTTCTGCTTGGATTTTCACCCATGTGGTGTTCCCAGACAGTTCTGGTCACCCCTGGAGGCTAAATGGTGACCCTTTCACCCTTTCTTGGGGCGGTCAGCAAGGGCCCTGTGTATACCGTGTATCCAGTAGCTGCCCGTGGAGCAAGTCCATGAATGCTGGAGGACGTGCGGTCTGCAGGGCGCCAGGCAGGCGCTCCCGAGGCTCCCGTTGCTCGCGTAGTAGGGGATGGATGTTATGATGTCCAGCATCTCCTGTTGCCACTTGAAATGCAGCTCGTGGGTCCACAGTTGTGTCAGGAACAGGACGGGGTGGTGCTGTGGGACTGGGTCAGCTGTTCAAGTTCCAGAAATATGGTTTTTTCCTTACAAGAAAAAGAACTTTCACTCACATAAATGTCTCTTGGAAGTTGCTGCCTGTTCTAGGCAAGTGGAAGAATCATTGTGGGAAAAAAAATGGAAGATAAATCTTGACGGTGCTTACAAACAGCAAGGAAGTCAGGCGCTTCACAGCCGAACAGTGAATCCGGGAGGAGTCCAGCCTTTTCTGCTCTGGTGCCGGTTTCCTGAGTGCGAAGCACTTACAGAAGGCAGGTCTGAGCGCACATTGAAACCAGTGGTTGTGCAGAGCGCTGTCCCGGCCTGCTCCGTTCACTCTGTGCTGTTACAAGCTGAGGGACTGATTAGAAGAACAATGTTCTCCTCAAACAGCTCAATGGCATGTGTTCCCTTTCAGCCCATCTGGAGCTGGGGGCTGCTGGGCTCACCCACCGTCCTGAGTCCCAGGGTCTGACTCGTCTCTAAGCCTTTTCCCCACTCTCATGCCTGAAAGCCAGGCAGCACCAGCCAGGTATGGGAAGCTCGCTGGGTTTCTGAACAGGATAGGGTACCTGTCAGAGCCCCTCGGCGACTTAGCATTCTGCGTGAAATGCTGGAAAGCACAGTCTCCCTCTTTGCAGAAGCATCCCACTCTCCAGAGAGCCTGGTCTGAATCGCACCTTTGCAGAGGTACCGTTCAGACTTGCTGTGCATTTTTCTTTTAAACAGTGCATCCTTGGACAAGAGGTTTCTCCTCTCTGCGCTGTGGGTGTGCAGCCACGAATGAGCCTCTTACAGGTGCTGTCACTTGTTTTGGGACATTTACTGTCTCCTGGGCCGGGAAGCTTCAGGGGAGGAATGAGGACAGGGAGGCAGTGTGCCCACAGTGATCTCTGAAGTCACCTGAGCTTTTTTGGGCTCAGATTCCTCATCTGTAGGATGGGCATGATCACAGCACTCACCTCAGGGGCAGCAGAGGATTAAATGAGATGATAGAGTTTGACGTGCTGTGGGGCAGACCTGCTGCTCAGTGAGCTGTCACTGAGGGAGTGAAATGAGCCAGCCCCAAGGAGACACCACATCGTGTGCTAGTGAGGACTGCACCATGTACCTGTCCAGATCCAGTTAAAGCCCCCCCAGTGCCCTGGGAAACACTGTCCCAGGAGTCAAGAAGAGTAGGTGTCCTCGGGAATCTCAGGCTCTGGGGATGAAACTGCGAAGGAGCTTGCTTTTTTTGCCTGAGTTCTGGGGGTCACTTCTCAGAAGCCAGATCCTCAAACTGGACCCTCCGCTCAGGACATCAGAACAGTCACCAGGACCTTCTGGAACCTTTCCTCTGAGTTGGAGGGCACTGAGGGAGTGTAACACCCTGAGCTTGGGGCACATGGGATGGGCATGCGCTGCACCGCTGACGCCTCACAGTACAGTAATCCCTCATGGAAGGCCCCGGTTGGGTCATGTTTGAAGTGCTCTGCAGGAAAGCCAGTTCCCAGCAAAGGTTTATTTCTCTTTCATAATGAAATTAAAATCTATTTTGGATTTTGGCTAAAGTCTCCAGAGGTTGCCGTCCTGGTCTGCAAACCTGGAAAATCCTTTCCTAGAATGAGACGTGGGATCAGCATGGATCAAAATACATTTGCAGGGATTAGGAAGGTTGTGTGACTGCCCCAGGTGGACCCTGTAGCTGAGAAAGACAGCACCGTAGCAACTGCTTTTGAATAAAGGTGTGCTGGCAGGCGGAACAAGGTGGTCATAGTAATCCTCTGCTTCCCTCCGCAGTTGCTGGCTGTCGCTGGGGAGTGGTGCCATCTGGGCCTTTGTAGCCCCTGCCCTGTTTGTCATCGTGGTATGTTTCCTGTCCTTGTGGGTGCAGAGCAGGTCTGCGGAGGGACCGGAGGAGAGGGCGCGGGGCTCTGGAGATGGCACAGGGCTCCTCGAGGAGCTTCTGAAAGATGCAGTGTCATTCCTCGGTCACTCCTCACTAGGGCTCCTCTGGGCCAGCGACTCAGGGTCTTATTTCCCTGACTGTTCAGGAAGGCAGAGCTTTCCTGGTGGGTCCATTCAAGGCCCCAGGACTCTTCCAGGTGAGGTGGCAGGTGCAGGCACACCTGCCCTGAGAACAGCATGGGCGAGAGCTGGCCCTTCCCCATCCTCCAGCAGGGATGGGGAAGCCTTCTCACCCGAAGGCTGGCTCCTGGCTCGGCAGTCACCAGGACTCCAAGGCTGCAGAGGGGAATCTCAGCAGAAGCCTCCTGGGAACCATACGTAACAGTTACAGTGGTTTGCAAGTGACAGAAAACCCAACTCAGAGTTTGCTGCTGTTGTTATTCTGAGATGGAGTCTTGCTCTGTTGCCCAGGCTGGAGTGCAGTGGTGCAACCTCGGCTCACTGCTACATCCACCTCCCAGGCTCAAGCGATTCTGCCTCAGCCTCCTGAGTAGCTGGGATTACAGGTGCCCACCACCACACCCAGCTAATTTCTTGGGGGAGCAGGATGGAGTTTTGCTCTTGCTGCCCAGGCTGGAGTGCAATGGTGCAATCTTGGCTCACTGCAACCTCTGCCCCTGGCGTTCAAGTGATTCTCCTGCCTCAGTCTCCCGAGTAGCTGGGATTATAAGCAGGTGCCACCATGCCCACCTAATTTTGTATTTTTAGTAAAGACAGGGTTTCTCCATGTTGGTCAGGCTGGTCTCGAACTCCTGACCTCAGGTGATCCACCCTCCTTGGCCTCCCAAAGTGCTGGGATTACAGGCGTGAGCCACCGCGCCTGGCCCCCCAGTTCATAGTTTAAACGCAGATAGGGATTGATAGCTACTGAGTCAGGACCATCTGTGGGGAGGCTGGGTCCAGGGCTCCTGAGCCCGAGAGCTGGGATGAGGCTCCTCTTTCATCTTCTCTGCCTCCTGGGATGGAGATGGAGGCTTTTTCCCAGCAGTCCCAACGCAAGTCCCAGGGCTGGTTCTCATTAGCCGTGGTGAGTCATGCGTCTTGTCTCAGAACCAGGCAGGGAAATGGGATGGAGTTGAGTGATTGGTCAGGTCTGCCTCACATGACTTCCTTGCGCAGTTAGCACCAGTGAACCCCAGGAGCTGCGGGCATGGTGGGTTCCTGGTCAGAGGGGTGACCTCAGCAGAGCCTGTGCTTTTATCTCTCTGCCTCCACATCCCTTTCTCTGAGGGCCTCGGCTGGTTGGGCCCTGGCTGCACATCCTGGCCCAGGCTTCCCGTCCGCAGGTTGGGCCAGGGCCCCGTAGTGCACTGGAGCGGCTCCCTGGGCTGAGTGGGGGCTGTCAGGGGCCCCAGGGTGTCAAGTGGGGCACCCCCAGCAGAGGGGCGGGAATCTTTGTGCAAGCAGAGCAGGGCGCAAGGGAAAGGCTTGTGACATCAGGGTCTCCCTCACAGTGTCTGCAGAGCTCCGAGCAGGGCTGGTTTTTCTTTCAGGAATCACTGTCAGCTGCAGAGGGGGTGCCTTTGGGTCTGTGTGGTTTACAGCTCCTCCTGCCCAGGGGCTGCAGCACCTCCCCAGGGCTGCCTAAGGATCACCTGCCATCGCTTTATCAGCTCGACCCTTTAAAGACTGACAGCCTTTAGTGAGAGGTTCTTGCGCTCCCTGGAGGTCTGGGAGAACCATTAATTTTGTCAACGGAAATGCAGAAACGCTTTCGGAACAGACTCCAGGCCCCTCAGTCATCAAACTCCCGGCCAGAGCATGGTCAGCTGGGAGGGGTTTAAAGGACGTTTAGTGACAGAGGGTGTGAGGGGGAAGTCGTATTCAAGTCTGCTGTTCCCTGTTCGCCCTTTCTGTCTGCTGACTTAAACCCTTTAGATCTGCAGGGCCCCGGGCAGAATAGGCCCCTGTGTCAGACGCTGCCCTGGTCATCTGGCTTTCATGTCTGACCGTGGTCAGTGACAGCTGCGGTTCTGAGGTGGCTCTGCCTGGCTCCGGAACCACTCACGTGGCGTGGGCCCAGCGCTAGGAACCCAGCACTCCTGTGTCTCCCAGCCTCGCTAGAGTCCCTTTTGTCATTTCTGAGGGAACATTACCTCCAGGGCCTGACCCCCACCCTACTGCTTGTTGTCAGTGGCCCTCAATCCTGGAGGACAAAACAATTCCTCCTCAAACTTATTACATTATTGAATTACCTGGGAGTTTTTTGTTTTTTGAGACAGTCTTTCCTCTGTCGCCTGAGCTGGAATGCCTTGGCACGATCTTGGCTCACTGCAACCTCTGCCTCCGGGTTCAAGCAGTTCTCCCACCTCCACCTCCTGAGTAGCTGGGACTACAGGCAGGTGCCACCACGCCCAGCTAATGTTTGTATGTTTAGTAGAGATGGGGTTTCTCCATCTTGGCCAGGCTGGACTCAATCTCCTGACCTCAGGTGATCCACTCTCCTTGGCTTCCCAAAGTGCTGGGACTGCAGGCATGAGCCACTTCCCTGGCACTGGGAAGCTTTAAAAGTATTCCTGCCTGAGCTCCACCCTCTGAGGTTTCAGCTTCATGGCCTTTAGAATCTCCCAGATGATTCTCACAGGCAGCTGGCTTGAGGTCCTCATGCCCTCCTGGGACACTGGTAGCAGCAGGCAGTTTAGAAGGGAGGCAAGAGCAGCCTTAAAAGATTCCAGGGTCAAGTGCAGAGGTCAGCAAACTGCCACAGTCTAGCCTACTCCGTCCTTCTGTAGATCAAGTTTTCTTGGCACACAGCCACGTCCGTTGATTTGCACATTGCCTGTGGCTGCTTTCAGGCTGCAGCGGCTGAGCTGAATAGTTACAGCAAAGACTGTGTGGCCTGCAAGGCCGAAAATACTGAATGCCTCTTGGCAGGAGGCTTATCCACCTCTGGGCCTGGGGGAGCCATGGAGGTGCCAGCCGACCCCTGCCGGGAGTGCCGTGGTGGAGGGGTGGGGGTCTTGTCCCTCTTACGTCTTCAGAGGATCCCAGGGTTTGTGCCATTTGGGTCAATTCCTCATTCACCTGCAAGTCCTCAGCCTTATTTCCAGGTGAAGAAAGCAGGTTTTGGGGTAACGTATTGCATGATCTCATTTGTGTAAAAGGTTAAAAACTCTGTGGGTACACACTCACATGTGAACATACAGCTGAATAAGAAAATGCCGGACAGAAGCACATAGAATAATGGTTCCCTAAGGAGAGCTTTGGGTTTGGGGAGTGTGTGCTTCAAGGTTATATGCATCTAAAAACACCCACGTATTGCTTGCAGAATTTGAAAATTAAAACCTTTTAGGAAGCTGTATGTTTGCATTAGGACACATGGTTTCCTAAAAGGTTTCATCCTCAAGAGGCAGAATCTAGGAGACAGTAAAGGGTCACTGTGGGGCCTGCCGGGCCTCGGGTTGAGGACAAAAGGGCAGAGATGAGCTACTTAGTAACCACCCCACCAGGCGCCTGCTGCCAGACACACACTGCCCACTGTCCCTTCTCAAACTGCTCCTGCCGTCAGGCAAGGAAATGACTTTCCGTTTGCCCTGCAAGTCCAGTTACACAGACTGCGGACGTGCCGGCAGGCGGGCATTCCCTGGTGTCTAGGGCTGCTGCAACAGGACCACAGGCTGTGCGGCTTGAACAAAATTCTTTTCTCACAGTTTTGGAAGGTAGAAGTCCAAGGTCCAGGCATCACCAGGGTTGGTTTCTGCCAAGGCCTCGCTCCTTGGCTCACAGATAACTTGCTTTTCCCTGTGCACTCACATGGTTTTCCCTTGGTGCGTGTCTACCTCTTCAAATCTCCTCTTAAAATAAATGACTGTCTTAAGCCAGTCATTGGATTAAAGCTCACCCTAGTGACCTCATTTTAACATAATTATTTATTTAAGGAACATATCACCGTGTGGTCTCGTTCTTAGGCACAGAGGCTTAGGGCTTCATATTCAATTCAATATGAATTTGAGGGGCCACAGTTCAGCCCATAACACCTGATTTTTCAGAAGCTGCAGAGCCTAGACACCCTGTTCCCCCAAAGAACAGGGACTCCATGGATGTCAGGGGCCCTTTAGCCTGAGCCTTCAAAATGGCCTGTTCTCTGCTGGCCCCACTGAGGAAAGAAGGAGAGTGCCTCCAGGTGTGTGGAAGAGGAGGCGTCTCTGATTTAAAATCTTTATCTCCTTTGGGGAGAAGTCAGGGTAGGGATTTGTCTGTATAGAGACAGATACAGATATGGTTACAGATATATATATATATATATACACACACACACACACACACACACACACACACACAGAGGTATAGATGCAAATAGATGCATAGAGACAGATACACAGGTACAAACAGAGATACAGATATAAATGCAGGCAGATACATGGATCCAAGTACAGACAGAGACACAGATGCATTGCTCCGGATGCACAGATACAGATAAACACAGATGCAGATTCTCCTGAACTTACAGTGGGGTTAAGTCCTGATAAACTTATCATAAGCAGGAAATGCCAGAAGTTGAAAATGCATTTAGCACATTTAACCTACAGAGCAGCATAGCTTAGCCTACCTCAGTCATTCTTGCAGCTCTTACATTAGTTGGGCAAAATCATCTAACACAAAGCCTATTTATATTGCAATGTTGAATATGGAATGAAACTGATTGAATACTGGAAGTGAAAAACTAGTTGTATAGGTTTGCAGAGCACAGTTTTTTACTGACGTGTATTGCTTTCACACCCCTCAAAAGTTGACAAATTATTACTCAAACCTTCCTAAGTTAGGAGCGGTAGATTAGATACATTTGGATACGGTGTGTAGTTACAGATACCTAAATATAGACAGACAGAGACACATTGCTTTGTGTGAATGTTTCCCTCAGAGTTCATGAAACTTAATTTCCAGTGCAGCGGTTCTGAGAGGTGGAACCGTTAGGAGCTGATCAGGTCATGAGGGCTTTGCCTTCGTGAAGGAGCTAATGCTGCTGTTGTGGGAGTGGGCTCATTATTAAAGGGGTGGGATTCTGATTAAAAGATTAGTTTTGCCCCCTTTGGTCTCTCTGTGCTCTCTCGCTCTTCTGACTTCTGCTGTGGGCCAATGCAGCAAGAAGGCCCTTACCAGATGCAGGCCCCTCGACCTTGGATTTCCCAGTTTCCCAAACTGTAAGAAATAAATCTCTGTTCTTTATAAATTACCCAATCTGGTATCGTCATAGCAGCAGAAAACAGACTGAGACGCACACTGTTGTGTATACTACGTATTTGTGTGTGTGTGTGTGTGTGTGCATGTGTGTGCGTGCGCGCCTGTATAGCCCTTTCATTGTGAAATAGTGGTGTCCATCTCAGTGTTTCTTCCACAAATAAACATTCTGGTGATAAACATTCTGAGCTAGGTCAAGAAACAGAACACGAGAATGCCTGTGCAGTCCTGCTTTCTCCTCCCACCAGAGGTCGCCGTGACCTTGGCCTCCGCCGTAGCCACGAGACCTTTGCTTTCTGGTTTGCTGCCTCCGTGTGCATTCCGTCCTTTCTTCTGAAATGAGGCCTGTGGCTTGTTTCTTTGACATCTGCCTTTAGTGGCTTCGTTGCTGGCATACCCATGGCACTCACATTGTACCTGCCCCCCCCCCGGGCATCTTCCGACTTGTGGTAGAGTGTGGGTGTACCATACGGCCAGGCGTGGATGAGGGCGAATGAAATGGAGTGGGGGAGGGCCGGGCCTGCTTCTGTTTTATATTTTCATGAAATGTCAGATTTGTGCCCCTCGCACGCAGCCACAGTCCCCCACTGAATTGCACCGATGCAGGATTGGAGGCTGTGGTGAGCTGCCCCTCCTCTTATCAAGCCACAGGAAGTATGTCATCTTGATAAGATGGAAAAACTGTGCCTGGAGAATGAAAACAGACTGACCCAGGCAAAAAAAAACAAGGCCCAGAAAAATCTTTGGAGAAAAAGGGAAGATGATGAATTCTGACAAGTAATAATGTGACCAGCTAACTGTTATGAAACACTTAGAGTGGATCTTATGCACAGCAGTCAAGATAAAGGACTTGAGATCTCAGATTAATTACTTGTAGCATTTGCATATTGGCAAAACACTTCGCTGCAAGTTCATCATCCCTTCAGTGGCCTTGTCAGAAAAGTCCTGGGAACAGTTGTGTGTGCATCTCTCAGCTTTCCAGCCGAGAGGTCTGGGGCAGAACCACGCTTGATAGCCTCCAGCAGCAAAGCAGAGTGATGATGAGACCTTCGAGCTCATGTGGGGTACTGGTGTGATGAGATCCTGAGCTCATGTGGGGTGTTTGTTGTGATGGGGTGTTGAGCTCATGTGGGGTACTGGTGTGATGAGATCCTGAGCTCATGTGGGGTACTGGTGTGATGAGATCCTGAGCTCATGTGGGGTACTGGTGTGATGAGATCCTGAGCTCATGTGGGGTACTGGTGTGATGAGATCCTGAGCTCATGTGGGGTGTTGTATGATGGGCCCCTGAGCTCATGTGGGGTGTTTGTTGTGATAGGGTGTTGAGCTCATGTGGGGTGTTGTGACGGGATTCTGAGCTCATGTGGGGTACTGGTGTGACGGGATCCTGAGCCCATGTGGGGTGTTGTTGTGATGGGATCCTGAGCCCATGTGGGGTGTTGTTGTGATGGGATTCTGAGTTCACATGGGGTGTTGGTTGTGATGAGCTCCTGAGCCCATGTGGGGTGTTGTTGTGATGGGATCCTGAGCCCATGTTTGGTGTTGTTGTGACAGAATCCTGAGCCCATGTGGGGTGTTGTTGTGATGGGATCCTGAGCCCATGTGGGGTGTTGTGATGGGATCCTGAGCTCATGTGGGGTGTTGCTGTGATGGGATCCTCAGCCCATGTGGGGTGTTGTTGTGACGGGATCCTGAGCCCATGTGGGGTGTTGTTGTGATGGGATTCTGAGCCCATGTGGGGTGTTGTTGTGATGGGATCCTGAGCCCATGTGGGGTGTTGTTGTGATGGGATCCTGAGCCCATGTGGGGTGTTGTTGTGATGGGATTCTGAGTTCACATGGGGTGTTGGTTGTGATGAGCTCCTGAGCCCATGTGGGATGTTGTTGTGATGGGATTCTGAGTTCACATAGGGTGTTGGTTGTGATGAGCTCCTGAGCCCATGTGGGGTGTTGTTGTGACAGGATCCTGAGCCCATGTGGGGTGTTGTTGTGACAGGATCCTGAGCCCATGTGGGGTGTTGTTGTGATGGGATCCTCAGCCCATGTGGGGTGTTGTTGTGACGGGATCCTGAGCCCATGTGGGGTGTTGTTGTGACGGGATCCTGAGCCCATGTGGGGTGTTGTTGTGACGGGATCCTGAGCCCATGTGGGGTGTTGCTGTGATGGGATCCTGAGCTCATGTGGGGTGTTGTTGTGACGGGATCCTGAGCTCATGTGGGGTGTTGTTGTGACGGGATCCTGAGCCCATGTGGGGTGTTGCTGTGACGGGATCCTCAGCCCATGTGGGGTGTTGTTGTGACGGGATCCTGAGCCCATGTGGGGTGTTGTTGTGACGGGATCCTGAGCCCATGTGGGGTGTTGTTGTGACGGGATCCTGAGCCCATGTGGGGTGTTGTTGTGACGGGATCCTGAGCCCATGTGGGGTGTTCGTTGTGATGGGATCCTGAGCCCATGTGGGGTGTTGGTCGTGACGGGATCCTGAGCCCATGTGGGATGTTGTTGTGATGGGATCCTGAGCTCATGTGGGGTGTTGTTGTGATGGGATCCTGGCTCATATGCGGTGTTGGTTGATGAGAACTCTGCACTCACCTGAGTTACTCAAGGTAATCTCCCGCATCTGCAGGCATCCCTCTCCTGGGTCCCAGGCTTCACCATCTCTCCATCCCCTTCCCCAGATCACTGGACACTGCGTGGCTAAGTTTCTATTCCACTGGACCCCAAGGATACTGCTCGGTCATTCACAGGAAATGGGTTTCATATTATTTCGTTTTAATTTACAGTTATTTAAAATTTAGTTAAATAATTTGATTTTTGAATTGGCAACACACAAAATTTAAAGGAGAAGCTCAAGAATCTAGGCATAAATGTGTCTGCATTCTCTGGTTTTCGCCCTCCCTCCAAACAGGCAACCTGTGATGCTGCTTTCCTGGGTGTCCCGGGGTTTTGTGCACATAGGGTGACTATAACTACGTACTCACCCCATTGCAGCCTTTGCTCAGCGATGTCAGAGCTGTGGCTTCTTGGCCAGGAAGAGCTGCCTCAGTCTGTCTCAGACCCACAAAGTGCTCCATAGAGTGGGTGTGCATGGCAGCCCCACCCCGCTGTCTGTGTGTGCACGGTCAGGTTGTTGCCAGTCTTGTTACAAATAAGGCTGCTGCCTGTGTTAGTGGGTGAGATAGCCAGAACGTAAATCCCTGAAGGAAAAGGGGCATGAGTTGCAGAATGGCAGTTAGGGCCTAGTCTCCACCCCTGAAGCAGGGAAAGAACTGGAAGAATTGTTTTGAAAAAGTATTCAGAATTCTAGAAACAAAGCCATGCTCACTAAAAAGCACTTATTCAAGAAAAACTATTGAATCTCAGAAGAGCAGGCAGGGTCTGTGGCAGTTTGACTGGGGACCACTTGCATCTCCACCCTCCCTCTCTGTGTGATTCTGTAGCCACCACTGCAGGCACAAAAGTGCTTCCCAGGCAGACGGCCAAGGCCAGCCTGCCCGAGGGCATGGGTGCTGTCAGAGTCTGCGATTTGAATCCCACGCCGTGAAGTAATAACTACACGAGTCACTTGAGCTTCTGTCACTGTCCTGGTTGGATGGAGTCATCACTGCATCCGGAAACCACTGACCCGTCATCCTGGCTGCCCCGCTTTCTGCTCCTAGTTGGATGTCCTTCTTGTCGTTGTTATGCATTGAGGTTGGCTGGAGGGCATCAGCGCTCCTGAATGTGCCCTTTGTGCAGACGCCATGCTGGGAGGCTAATGTGTTCACTTCTTTTCTCTTCCCTCGTGTTGGGAGACTTCTGTTATCAGCCTCACTTTACAGATGGGAAATAAGGGCAACCAGGGTGCTTCGGACTGTCAGCTGGGCTGGGCAGGAGCTGAGCTGCCAGGTGTTGAGGTGGTCAGTGAAGACAGGAGCTAAGGAGGGAACATTTGGGGTGCCCACTGCCACAATAGTGTCCTAACGGGCTAGGCAGGAGGGGGCAGCCCCACTGCGTGCCCTTCTCCCCCATGGAGGGCACCAGGAGAGTCTGAAGCCTCAGCGCAGACGGGGCTGGTGTCCTGCTGACAGAGCCCTGAGCAGAGGGCTCTTGCTGATTCATGGGCCTGGGAACTTCGAGAGGAGGAAGGGAAGGGCTCAGAGTGGAAAAGTACTGGGCAAAGAAGGTGCCTTCAAGGCCCCTAGGGTGAGGCGGGCTCAGCAGGTGCTTTAGCGGGCGCTAAAGGCGGGGTGCGGATATGCGGAACAGTGATGCTGGCCCGTCCCATGTGGGGCCCCCTGCGGCTTGGTCTCTGACTGCAGCTCCCTTTGGAGACTGCTAGGCTCTGGCTGCACTCAGGCTGGTGTGGGGATGGCAGCTGTCCTGTGAGGCCGGCCAGGTAGAGCCCTATTCATTGCCTGAAAGTCTGAGCAGCAAGTCAGAGAGGACTTCAGCCTGGAGCTGGACTCCCTGCTGATGCTGCAGATGGCCTCAGAATTTTTCAGACACCAGGGAGAAGGCTAACCCTAACCTTCACTCTGTAGTGAGAGGACATTAGGGGGCTCTTCCCCGTGCTGTCCCTGCCTCGCCAGCCTCCTCCGGAGGGAGCTGCCCAGGTGAAGGGCAGGTTGTGCTGAAGCCTCTGCCAGGGGCCCCCTGTGACCCACCTAGCCCCACAGGTCCCAACAGGAGCCTTCCAGCAGTTTCCCAGCAAGGAGTGGGGGCGTTGGCAGGAGATGACGTTCCCTCTGCCACAGCTTCCATGGCTCACAGGGCTGCAGGCCCGGGCCGGGGCGGGAGATGAGAGCGAGGCCCAGTGCTGGGGCCTGACACACTGAGTGATTGTTTGCCCTGTGGGCACTGTCCTCCTCATCACCTGGGGCACTGAGGCTCCAAGTACTTGGGTAGTGGCCCAGGGTCACACTAAGTGAGCAAATGCTAACATGAGGTCTGACCCAGGCTCATCCCCTCATGCCTGGATGGGTCTGGGACTGGAACTTGTCTTCTCAGCACAGGAGCTCTCAGAGGCAAGCTTGCGTGTTGTGTGTGTTGGTAAAAGCCCACGGACCAGGGTGAGATTTGTCCCAGTGACACCCCTGTCTCCCAGGAGCCTTGGCTGGGCAGGGGTAGCCTGTGGCGAGGGCAGTGGCCAGGCAGACGCAGCTCCCCTGCAGGTGCAGCCAAGCCCTCCTCACCTTCCTGCACGGCTTCCTGTGCAGGTCAACATCGGCATCCTCATCGCGGTGACCAGGGTCATCTCACAGATCAGCGCCGACAACTACAAGATCCATGGAGACCCCAGTGCTTTCAAGTAAGTTGACCGCAAGCTGCCAGCAGTGCCATGGCACTTCTGCCCCCCAAGGGCTGCTCCGAGTTCTCAGGAGAGACAGCAACTCCTTTCTCCTGTGGCTGGCACCCAAGTCCTCCACTTGCTCTGTGTCCCACTGTCTCCAGGCAGCACTGGCTTCACGCCCTCGCTTAGCTATTGTGATCTGGGACAAGGCCTTTACCCAGCCCCAGGCTCCTGTATGTAGAAGGACGGGATCTACAGATGTTCTCCTAGGGACTGCTTCATCCCAGTCCAGGGTGATGAGCAGCTGGAGGGTGGCAACAGGGAAGATTCTAGAGCCAAAGTGCCCCTGCCAGTCCCACCTCTGCCCTGGGCATCTGCTGGGCTCAGCGACTTATTTAGCCCCTCAGCACCTCACCTTCCTCACGAGCAGAATGGGAGGATAACAGCTTCCTCTCGGCTGGCACGTCAGGAAAGGTCCAAGGGAGAGCAGTGTCCTGGCAGGCTCTGGGCGGGCCCACCCGGGGAAGGGGCGGGATCTCTGGGAGGGATTCCACCCACACACCTCACTGCCATCGGGGGTCTCCTGACCTGTGTCTGTGAGGGCCCTGCCGATTGCAAGTGACAGAAATCGCAGTGTGCATGGACCTAAGCCGAAGCGGGGCTTCCTGCCGCAGGTGACTGTGAAGTCCCGTGCTCAGAAGCCTCGGTCCAGAGCTCAGCACCGGGCCCAGCTCCTCCTTTGCATCCTGGGTGTTGGCTTCAGGCCGAGGTCCACTCTGTCCCCTGGTGGCAGAATGGCTTCGGCAGGGCTTCAGGCCCACAGGGGAGTCCCTGTCCCACCTGCTCAGACCTGGGCCTGCGCCTGGAGGAGGATGGGGACTCAGGCTGGGCCTGTGCCCTCCCTGAGCCAGACCCTGCAGAGGGGGATTCATCGTTGCCCTGACCCGAGTCTCATGATGCACCGTGGCTCTGGGGTGCAGTCAGCTCCCCCAAACCACAGGGCCTGGAAGCTGGGGAGGCCGTCCCTAACAGGGACTTTGGAGGCTTTGTGAAAAGCAGGGCATGGGTACCAGTCAGCTGACATTCTGTAACGTGACTTCAGCCACAGTGTCTTTTCTGATGTAAAAGCAGAAGTGGTAAATATGTCAGCAGCGAATCCGTGAGAATTAGTCCGTAGTGAATTCCAAACACCAGATTAGCCTGACGAGAGGCTGAAACCCTCAAGGGCTGTGCCCCCTGCAGGAAGAGATGCTCCTGGGGTCAGAGACCATGTTCTTTCCTCTTCCATTGCTGAGACCAGGCTGGTCCCTGGCCCCTGTGTGGCCTGGCCGGGGAGGGACCTGTCCCTTCTTCGCCCCAGCCCTGTGCTCCCCAGGCCCTCATCCAGCCTTCAGGGTCAGCCAGTCTGTGGCCAGCATATCTCCAGCAAAAACTCTCCCTCCCCTGTCTGAGCCCCACAAGACCACTACTCTCCCTGTCACCAGAACACCTCGTGCACCTGGCCTGCACCTGGGCACCGCCTTCCCTCTCTACCCCTCTGCCCCCCATCCTCCTATCAGTGCCCACCCAGGAAGCAGCTTCTGTCCACTGCCTTTGCTTCTCTGTGGAAACATCCCCCAAGCAACAGGCTGGCACTGTGTCTGCAGCTCTTGTGAAGGCATGAGGTAGGGAGTGTGTCCCGGGAGAGCATCCCCAGGTCTTTGCAGGGCACAGCTAGGCATTGCCCACTGCTCCCACCTGAGTCTGCGCTTGGCAGCCCAGGGATGTGTCCCTCCCGGTAAGGTGCAGGCAGGCGTCTCTGGGGACAGACCTCTCTGGGTGTCTCTTCATTATGAAACCCAAATGCCTTCAGTTCTTCTCCTTTGGCCACCCAGCTCTGCCCCCGGGGGCTTCCTCTTGTTAGTGTGGATGGCATAGCACTTGATTCCCAGAGCTGCTGGCCCAGGCGGGGAGCGGCCATCACTGCATCCTGAGGAGGCTGCCTCAGCGCCTTCCTATTCCACTCTGCCGGCTTTAACCTGGTGGCTTTCTTAGGGCCGAGCAGCCCAGCACTCAGTGACTAACAAGATAAGATTCTTCCTCAGTGACCCTTCACACAGGTGGCTTTCACGTTTTTTTCTTTTCCAAGAAAAGTGGAGACTAGATTAGGTGAGGTCTGAGAAGGGGGAGGAGCCTGGCTTTCACGTTCTAAAAAAGTTTCTGCTTATTGATCTTGATTCCAGACACCTGAAAAAGAAGCAGAGAATGTTCAGGGTTTACAAGCGGGGCCCTGAGGATGGGGGAGTGAGGGTGAGATTCCCGTGGAAGTGCACCCACAAGCAGGCGGATGTCGGGGGCTGGAGACTCACTCAGGGCCTGAGCCCCCCAGGCCAGGGCCAGCCCTGGGGGAGCAGAACGGGGTCATGGCATCAGAGAGGAAAGCACCCTGTGCTGCGCAGAGCTGCCTCCATATCCGGGACCTCTCTTTCCACTTCTGACCAGGGACACTGGGCTCTGGACATGTTGAGGGTCCTCAGAGAGCTTCAGCTCAGTGTGTTCGCCCCATCACTTTCACTTTAAAAGCACATGTTGGTACCTATTTCTCAATGACCTTTCCTTTCCAATGTGGTTTCCCGGGATCTAAAGACTGTCGCTGAATAATGCATGATATTTTTGTTTCCCAGAGACAGGTGTTTTGTTTTTATTGCATTAGTGTTATGAGAACAAGCTGGCTGCAGTTCCTCTGAGCTCTGAAGTGCTGGAAAGTTCTGGGTTTTACAGGAGCCCGTTGCCAGGAGCTGTCAGTGCCGGGCTCTTGGGCTCTTGACAAGGAAGCTCATTATGGCCGCATCTCACCTCTGGGGAGGTGCCGGATCTGTGGGCAGCACTTTTACACATCTGTCCATTTGTTCATCATTCATTCATTCACTGTTCATTTCCTGAGAGCCTCTGAGTCCTGGCACTGGGATGCCCTTTGGGGTCACAGAGACAAAAAGACCAAGTCCCAGGCTTTAGGGATCCCATAGTCTAGTGAGGGAGATAGAGTCACAGTCACTGGGCTGGGTGATGAGGGGTAAACGGAGGCACGTGACAGTTGCTGACCTGGGTAGCAGGAACCCGTTCCTCTCTAGGTTTTTCTCTAAAGCTGAAAGGCAGAAGGGCCTTGCTGCAGAAAGCCCAGCTGTTTCAGAAGTCAGGATGGACTGGACTTGAGTTGGCTGGCCATGATTCACCCAGCACATCAGGAGTGGCTTTGAGGCACAGATGGTGGGTCCAGCCGTAGTGGGTGCTAACTCTGGCCCAGGTGGGGTCATCTCCATACCCTCTGCTTCTGCCCCTGATGAAACCCTGTATCACCTTAGCCGTTACTGGGTGCTGTGGGGCCTCTGTTTCCTTATTATACAATGGGGTCTGTGTATAACCTGCCTCTCCTGTGTCAAGAGGGCCATGGGCCTCGGAGGAGATAAAGATGCATGCTGGTGGGGTGGTGAGGTAGGGACGGGCTGTGGCAGTTCACAGTGCAGTTCAGATAAGGATGCATGCCGGTGGGGTGGTGAGGTAGGGATGGGCTGTGGCAGTTCACAGTTCAGATAAGGATGCATGCTGGTGGGGTGGTGAGGTAGGGACGGGCTGTGGCAGTTCACAGTTCAGATAAGGATGCATGCTGGTGGGGTGGTGAGGTAGGGACGGGCTGTGGTAGTTCACAGTTCAGATAAGGATGCATGCCGGTGGGGTGGTGAGGTAGGGATGGTCTGTGGCAGTTCACAGTTCAGATAAGGATGCATGCTGGTGGGGTGGTGAGGTAGGGATGGGCTGTGGCAGTTCACAGTTCAGATAAGGATGCATGCTGGTGGGGTGGTGAGGTAGGGATGGGCTGTGGCAGTTCACAGTTCAGATAAGGATGCATGCTGGTGGGGTGGTGAGGTAGGGACGGGCTGTGGCAGTTCACAGTGCAGTTCAGATAAGGATGCATGCTGGTGGGGTGGTGAGGTAGGGATGGGCTGTGGCAGTTCACAGTTCAGATAAGGATGCATGCTGGTGGGGTGGTGAGGTAGGGACGGGCTGTGGCAGTTCACAGTTCAGATAAGGATGCATGCTGGTGGGGTGGTGAGGTAGGGATGGGCTGTGGCAGTTCACAGTTCAGATAAGGATGCATGCTGGTGGGGTGGTGAGGTAGGGACGGGCTGTGGCAGTTCACAGTTCAGATAAGGATGCATGCTGGTGGGGTGGTGAGGTAGGGACGGGCTGTGGCAGTTCACAGTGCAGTTCAGATAAGGATGCATGCTGGTGGGGTGGTGAGGTAGGGATGGGCTGTGGCAGTTCACAGTTCAGATAAGGATGCATGCTGGTGGGGTGGTGAGGTAGGGACGGGCTGTGGCAGTTCACAGTTCAGATAAGGATGCATGCTGGTGGGGTGGTGAGGTAGGGATGGGCTGTGGCAGTTCACAGTTCAGATAAGGATGCATGCTGGTGGGGTGGTGAGGTAGGGACGGGCTGTGGCAGTTCACAGTTCAGATAAGGATGCATGCTGGTGGGGTGGTGAGGTAGGGACGGGCTGTGGTAGTTCACAGTTCAGATAAGGATGCATGCCGGTGGGGTGGTGAGGTAGGGATGGTCTGTGGCAGTTCACAGTTCAGATAAGGATGCATGCTGGTGGGGTGGTGAGGTAGGGATGGGCTGTGGCAGTTCACAGTTCAGATAAGGATGCATGCTGGTGGGGTGGTGAGGTAGGGATGGGCTGTGGCAGTTCACAGTGCAGTTCAGATAAGGATGCATGCTGGTGGGGTGGTGAGGTAGGGACGGGCTGTGGCAGTTCACAGTTCAGATAAGGATGCATGCTGGTGGGGTGGTGAGGTAGGGATGGGCTGTGGCAGTTCACTGTTCAGATAAGGATGCATGCTGGTGGGGTGGTGAGGTAGGGACGGGCTGTGGCAGTTCACA